ACGAAGGCGGTGCACTTGTAGAAGGGAGACGGGGAGAGACACGTCTCAGACACGGGACCAGGAGTACCAGACACGAAGCGGGGTACAGAACGAGCCACAGCTATTAGAAGGCCGTTACTGTTCCCCATAAAACCCCATAAAGGGCCGACCCACTGATGGAGACCATAAGGGTAGTTGCCCGAGTAAGGTGTGGAAAAGCCAGAAATAAACAATCGTATCAAACGCCCTTGCCTGGGAATGTTTTTCAGCTAGGCGGCTGAAGAATGCATTAGCATCTTTCTGTATGAGGAGGGGCGAAGGCCAATACAAACGTCATTGGTTGGCCCATCAGGAAACCAGAGGCAAGGATGCCGTGAGGGGAGAAGGGCGCTACAAAACGTCAAGGCCTGCCCAGGCGCAGGCTACGGGAGTACCAGGGAGGGCCGCTAGACTGCCGGGGCCAGTGAAGGTTACCCTGTTAAAACGCAAGGCACGGCCATAGGAGCAGAGAAAAATTGGCCGAGAAGTACCGGAGCAGTCGGCTTCCCCGAGCAGTAGGGAATCGGCGAGTGGCAGTGACGAAGATATGCAACCCGGGCGGACGACCAGGGCCAGGAGGGCGGAATCGGAGGACATACACCAGGCTAGAGCCGAAGGGTCATCCGCTGCCGGCAGACAAGCGGAAAGGGACATCCGGTCCGAATCCAGGGGCCCGGTCGGGCAACAAGTGGATTGGCGAGCCTTGGGGAAAGACGTTGGCTGCAAAACACGGAGACAAGGCCATGTCACTCAGAGGCACGTTCGAGCCCAACGCGGCCTCAGACCCAGGAGCGATAGTGGCATTACGAATCGGAGGATTTTGGGCTCCGAGGACGGCAGTCAACTTTTGTGGGGCGGCGCAAAGAACTTATGGTGATCGGTCTGACGGACACGCTGGAACAGTTTTTCTGGCGGGTAGGGCAGGATCTCTGCGATGGATACACGAATCACAGGAGGCGAGGCTACGACGTAGACTGACACCCCTTATCGAAGAGATAGCAGAACAACTGGCAGCAGCCTTTCGAACAGCAGCGGGAACCTATCAGGGTGAGTCCAGTTTTCGGGGGAAAGTGTACAGTTCCCCAATTGATGACTACCGCGTGTCAGAGGAGCGATGCGGGGCCAACTTAGGTGACTTATAATGGGTGCCCGGGTGCACCACCCGGGGGTGGTCGGGGGGACGCGGAGACGGGAGTGAGAGAGTTGGAGATACGAAATGGGGAGAGTTTACAGTGGGAGCAGGAGTAAGGCAAGGCAGAGAGGGGGGCGCGCGGAGCGCGGGTGGCCGGGGTGTTTTAGGTTGGCAGGGGNATGGAGGGTGGGACGCCGTGCATGGTGCGTGGGGCTCGCTTAGGCGGAGAGCGTTACAAAGGTTGTAAGTGAGCCCTTCGTATCATACGGATGCTCGCCCCAACTAATCCGGCCCTTACGGTGGCGGGCTCTTTGACTTCAGAAATGCCAAATACAGAAGTACGGAGGGCCCTATGCCAACCACGGATATCACACCAGGACGAGACAGTCCGAGTTTTGGCCATTCCAGCACAGAATGCAGAGTCAGACAACAGGTACCAACTAAGCTTTATTAAGACGGATTACAGAAAATAGACGACGAGAAAGACTAGAAAAAGTCGAGGTCGCCCTCCCTCCCCACCCTCGTGAGACAGGACCAAACATGCACAGACTTATCACTCATCATCACTCTCCAAAACCACCAGCCCCGTCCCCGTCCCGCCGGCCGGGAGGCGGGCGAGGTGCCTAGTAGGATCCAGATAGCGGTGCAGAGTACCCAGAGAGCGGATGTGCGCGGAACGCATGAGATCCTCATCGGAGACCCCCTGAGACTGGGCATGCTGCAAAGCACCCCGACGAAAACTGTGCACCGTCTCTCCACCGTATAGCCCAGCAGCGGTAAGATGAGCGACGAGGCGATATTCCAGGGCCTCGGTCGTCATCGGCGCCTCCCGATATGCGCGGCCACTGCGCTCCGCCGGACGGAAGAGGTATTGGGTAATAGGGGTACCGGCCCTCGTACACGTGCTCATGTACACTGCAAGAACCCGCAGCGCGCAGACGATAGGATCACGATCCGGACGCAACATCGTCGCAGGAGCACGCTGACCCTTGTACGTCTTGGTATTCAATTCTTCGATACGGAGTACAGGGTCGGGAGAGACACTCCCGTCAGGCGCGGGTAGGGGTAACGGCCAGCCCTGGTACTCGGTACGGCCATGCACCGGATCCCTGAAATCACTTAACACCAGCTTGCCGACATCATGACCGCGCTGATACGTATGCCACATTAAAGCAAATAGAGACAAGTCCCGAAGCACCAAACTGCGAGCAAACAAATGCTCTTCGTCGCCGGACGCAGTCCACAGATGGCAGGCCAGGCGACGAAACTTCTCCGCGGTCAAAGGGATGGCGCCTCGCTCCACATAACCGGCGTCACTAAGGTCCCGCCCGTAGCCCTTGACATAGCCTCGCACCAAGGAGCTGTCGCAAGGATTCCCGCGGCTTTGAGAGGCGTCATAGTCCCCTTCCCGGCCCAGCTGCTTAAAAGCAGTCGCAAGGCTCGAGATAACCCCTTTCACAGCACTGGCGCTGGGACGCCGGTCAGCCCGCAGACGCCCAGGGTGCCGGGGGAACCACCATTCCACCAGATACGAAACAATGGACATAGGATCGCAGGTGAGCAAGGTGAGCCCGAGAGACTGGCGCTGCAACCAGCCATGAAATTCTCGCGCAGCACTTTGAACCCGCCGCCAGCTCTCCGAGACCCACTGACGTTGGTGCACCTGGTAGATCGAGAGCAAGGCGGCCGTGAGCGGCGGCCGCACCGACACGTCCCCGGTAAACTCAGAGTAATACAGAGCCGCGACAGGGTCTAAAGGCGGCGGCGCCGACCTCGGGAGACGGATAGGGCCCGCAGCAAGCGGAGGCATGGCAGGGAGAGGATTACCAGGAAAGACCTGCGGTGATCATAGAGCCGAGGCGTAGGACGCACTAAGCTGACGGACGTCCATCGAAAACAGACAAAACGTACCAGCGGCAGGTGTAACGGCGGGACGATGAGATCGTCACGCACAGGCGTAACGGTAACGAATCGATGAGTAGACGAAGTAAGTGGGTCTTGGCCCCACGGTAAGCCGCCAGGTACGAGAGGAAACATAATGCTAACGGGTACTCGCGATAACACGATTACTCGATTCAGGAACACGGAAAATTATTACAATAAAACGGGGCGCGATCGCGCTTCCAAAAAATTTGGATATCACCGAAAAGGGCCTAAATTCGTTCGTGCGTGGTGCGTGGGGCTCGCTTAGGCGGAGAGCGTTACAAAGGTTGTAAGTGAGCCCTTCGTATCATACGGATGCTCGCCCCAACTAATCCGGCCCTTACGGTGGCGGGCTCTTTGACTTCAGAAAATCATGCGCACATGTTAAACATCTTTTCCTCAGCATCCAAAACGTTTCACCGGGCATCAGTGTTTATTTTTTTGGTAATATATTACTTTTTTGGGAATAAATGGGGGTCTGAGCCTGGAAGAAATGGAATAATTGGTCAGTTGGCCGTACTGGTTCATTACTTCGGCCATAAGTCGCCCCAAACGCCTTCTGCACATATAAAGCTGAACATTTGGAGCTTATGCACTATCTATGTATAAAATATTTGATGATATCACCATGAGACGGCCCGCTGTTGCATTCAACCTAGGTCAACGGGGCATTCGTTCATTCTTGACCAAAGCAAACGGCTCAGAAAGTCCGCAGATGCAATGCCCCAAACATTTAGAAGAAGAATTAGATAATACAGAAGACAAGGATAGGCATGCCGTAGTTGCCGCTCTTGAAGTCAGTGAAGCCAGCGATTTGAGCGAAGCTGAGGATCCCCCGGCGAAGCGGCAACACACAACTGTAGCAATCAGCGACTCAGCTGAGCAGCTTGATTCTGACGAGGAAGGGCCACCGCCCCAAGATGTCGCCACGGCACCACCGCCACCTTCAAGGGCTGGTGCTTCGCAGCACGCACCGCTGGTGATTCAAAAGCAGGCGCGGCGCCAGCAAACACAGCGTGTGCCGAAAGGCCAAAGCGATGGGAGCTGGCGGGAGAATGAGGAAGTGCGTCGCTTCCAGGCGCACTGGACAGCTTTGTTCGAATGGGCTGAGTGTGTTGCGCCGGATATGGAGGCTGGCGAGGTGCACGACCGTGTCCGGTGCGGTCCCTGCTCCCTCAGCCGGCAGCGGGACATCACGATGGATGCCAGGCAGGCCACACTAAAAAGCCACGAGCTTTGCGAGTGTTGTTTACAGCACACCGTACAGCCTTTGAGGGGGGGGTCTGGGGGGGGTNCTGGGGGGGGCGCAGCCCCCCCCAGCGACTATACAAAAAGGAATTGTAGCCGCAAGAAACACCCAGTTTATTACTCTAGGGTATTAGGCCCCAAACGAAAAAAAAAACACTGCCGGGCATGTCCTGCGTATCGGGTTGTACTTTATAGCTGTGAAGGCCCCTGGTATTTATGGCGTTGCAGGTCTCTGCTTTACTGCAAGTGAGGATGGTGAACCATTGGATCACCAACTCTCAACCAGCTGCTCGGCCCAAGGACATGTTTGCTCGCCTTCCATGCAACGACCAGAACGAGTGCAATCGGATACTCCCTGGGCAACCGGTGGCTTAGGCGCGGGCGCACCCATCGGTTGGACATCAACGACATCAGTGGCCGCTTGCGCCTGCGGCTGCTTTCACCCGCAGGCAAAGGTACTTGTGAAGCCTAGGGGCGTATGTGTGTGTATCTGCAGGCGTGAAGGCCAGGTCATGATGACCTATTCAAATCTGGGGCATTTATCAGGTTTTCAATTTCCGCATGCATACACCTCAGCTCACATGCATGTGGTCACCGGTACTGGTGCCTTGTGATCTGCTGCTTTCCACATGCAGCATTGCTACTGTCACAGCAAAAGTCTCACCTTTTCTGAAAACTACTACTATTCGGTTCAGTGATTTACTTGCGTACTTTTTGCTGGTCCACAATGCAGACGAAAATGGGCGGCTGCAATACCTTATGCCCCACGCCTTGGCGTGTTGTGCTAACGCGTTGTGGGAGACCAGAAGCATCGTGCAGTTGGTGAACATGATGCCTGGGCGAGACGACCCTGCGGGTGGACACTACATCATGCACGAGGATGATGAAAAGGTATGTGCATAACTGCCCTTTGAGGCCAGAGACTACTCCAGATACCGCATGCATGACAGTAAACTGTCATCCTAGAGGATGCTGAGAACTCTATTACTGGTCCCTGTTTCGCACAGGCACTGCGGGGGTACTGTGCGGTGCACACGTTGGTTTTGGACGAGAAGGGCGTCAGTCGGGGACGAGTAGTTGTTGAGATCCAGCGACTCATCAAGCTTGTCCTTAACCATTGTTGATGAGGGATAGAAATAACAATTGGGTGATAACTGTCGGCGCTAAACGGGGCTCATAACCTATTAAGACCAGCAAAGCGCCGGACCCCCGTTGGGTCCTATTACTGTGGCTACCATTCACTGGTATATGAGAGTCGGTCATTTCCAACACCCCCCGTGAGCGACACTCTCTCGCTCCGGGCCTTCCCGTGCCTCATCCCGGTCTCCCATTCACTGGGCAACAGCTAGTGGGTATCGATCCGGCGATCTCTCGGCAGCGCAATGCGCCATTCGGGGCTCATAACCTGTTAAGATCAGCAAAGCGCCGGACCCCCGTTGGGTCCTATTACTGTGGCTACCATTCACTGGTATATGAGTGTCGGTCATTTCCAACACAACGTGCGTTCATTGGAGCCATGGGAGCGCTTTAACATTATGGGCATCAAGGGGCAGTTATTGCGTCCAACTGCGGTCGGTTCGCTCGTTCTTCGGTCCAACGTCAACGACAAGCAGGCCATTTCATTCAAGAAGGTCTACGTCGACGAGGAGGCAACGGTCAAGGTTCTGTCAGTTCGCATCATCGACGATCGCGGTGGTAGCGTCGTCTTTGGTAACGGACAAGTAAAGGTATACTTGCAGGACCATTTAGTGTTGACCGGTGAGCGGGACGGCGACTTATATCCGATTTGCTACCGAGGTACGATGGCAACGGACAATCGTATATACATGGTACAACATGCACCGCCGTGGATTTCAGGACGGAGCGTGCAACACTTTGGCATCGGCGTTACGGACATCTGGGCTACAGCAACCTCGAGGTGTTGCTGCGCCATAATATGGTAATGGGGTTCGACGTTGACCAGCACAGCTTTCAGAGGGCCAGCACGTGTGTTTGTGAGACTTGCGTTCTCGCAAAGCATACCCGAGGTCCTTTTCCGTTAACAAGGCACAAGGCAGCTCAGCCATTAGCATTAGTTCACATGGATGTGTGTGGACCTATGCCTGAACCTTCGCCTAGTGGTTCGCGTTATGTAACAACTCTGCTTGACGATCATACCGGTCTTTCAGCTGTTGCGTTTACAGCGACCAAGGACGAAGTCTATCAGAAGATGGTGGTGATGATCGCGGAGCTGGAACGTGCTTCTGGTCGGAAGGTTAAGGAGGTGCGCACGGATCGTGGCGGGGAGTTCGTTAATACTCGCACGAAGGGCTACTTCGCATCCAGGGGTATTGTGCATGGAACTACGGTAGGCTACACCCCTGAACAGAACGGAGCAGCCGAACGTTTAAATCGCACTCTTTTGGACAAGACTAGGGCTATGCTCGTTGAGTCTGGACTGCCTAAGTCATTATGGGCGGAGGCGTTAGCGACAGCCAACTATCTTAGGAATGTGTCACCAACTGCTGGGTCAACCGTCACTCCGTACGAAGCTTTCTTTAACGTACGTCCGAACGTCAGTCACCTGCGAGTCTTTGGATGTGTTGCCTACATCCACGTACCCGACATCAAGCGCGACAAGTTCGACCCGGTGAGCAGGCATGGAATACTTGTCGGATACGGGAACGGAGGACAGTATCGTGTGCTATACGAGGACGGCATTATTGCCGTAGTTTCTAACGTTCGTTTCGATGAGTCTAATGTCGGCCGGCGGCGTAATGCCGGGGACTCCGATTATGAGTCCGATGCCGACGAGGAGGAGGAGTTTCGCACTAGTTTATCTGGTGAGGGATCGCTGCCTAGGGCTGGCGAAGGGACACCAGGTAGCACCGTCGGCGAGGGATCGCCGCATTTGGGTGGCGAGGGGGCGCCGGCTGGGGCTGGACCTTCCAGCAGTGCGAACGGGCAAGGAATCAATCAGCCTGATGTGGAAATGGCGGGAACTAGGTACCCAGTTAGAGAACGCAAACATCCTGGCGAGTGGTGGCGGAATGAACCCGGTCGTACTGTTACTGGCCGAGTCAATGCTGCAATTTCCACTGAGATAACAGAACCTAATTCGTTTGCGGAAGCCATTGCAAGTCCACATGCAGACGACTGGCGGCGTGCGATGGATGAGGAAATCGCCGCTCAGATGGCCAACCATACCTGGGAGCTTAAGAAGCCGCCGCCGGGTACACGTTTACTACCTTGTCGGTGGGTGTATTATTGGAGAATTGGCGACGGTGACAGCTAACGCTAATTGTTATTCCGGAAGGATTGCCGGTGGCGAAGATATTTAGCACGATAAACTGTTACAAGTAATGTAAAGAGTATTGTTAGCGTTCGGCAGGACTTGAGGAGATTCCTGGTAGGAATACCGATCGTTGAGAGATAAACTAATAGGCGCTGTCACCGCCCTAAATACCGGCGCTAGCGGAAACTTCATACATTCCACGATCTAACTGCACGTACATTCCGCGATCTCACTGCGCCGTCCAGATGGTGCCCTAATGTCTATCACTTAGCTACCGGATATGCATCGGTAGCCCCATAAGGTTCTGGGGT